AATATCATCATTGACTAAATTTAAGGAAGTGCGATCATTACCTCTATTATGTGCCTTAGTCTAGATGTAGGGATTAAAGGTGCAATCTCTTGTTCGAGCACTCCGAGCCTTGCCGGCGAAACTACAGGACAGGTGATAATGAGCTAGAGCCCCTGTGCACGACGACTCTCGTCTTCCTGTTACTGTCCCGGCCGCCTGCCGTTTTGGTTGTCGGTGACTTGAGAGGGATTCAGGCTGGTTTTTGGTCGAGGGAAAGGGAGGAGGTAGTGGTGATGGGAACTGGGCGGTGGCGGTGGTGTTTGGATCGCGCAAGGCGGAAGAGGGAAGGCGGCGCTATTGCTTGGTTTTATTAGTTTAGGTTTTCGGTCCTTCCTTTTTGGCTATTAGGTTTAGTGTATATATATATACATATTCACATGAAGAGATGTAGAGAGGAAAGAGGTGGAATGTACGTGAGGGAGGAGGAATCCCCACCTGTTGCTGCTGCGTTGGGATTGGTTTAGGTTAGCTAGAGCTTAATTAATCATAATAACTAAATAAGGGTAAATTTGGAAATTTGAGAAAATTCTAGGTACCGGGTGTGACAGTGACAGTGGGATGCATCCCTTTTTTTTTTATTTTTCTAGCTGTGGGCTGCATCACTTTGGTGGTTCAACATCGTCTAACAGATTTAACGTACAGTTCGCTAATGTTTTGAAATTCCAACGATTCGGCTAAAATTTTGTAAAAAACTAAGAGGATACCAAAGTATAGTTGCTGTTAAACCAATAATAATTAATATTATTTTATAATTATATAATAATTAATATTGTTAATTTTTTTCTTATAGTTATCATTGATATATATACCACATTGTTAGGAGTTGACCGTTTGACTTCGAGAACAAGTTTATCATTGTTCGTATGGTCAAATAGAGATCTTTTGTTGACTCGAATTTGCATTGAAAATTAGAGATAAGAAGTGTTTGTGGGAAATGTTTGACTAAGTTTGATCATATTTAATTTAAAGTTAACGAGAATCTTGTAGCATGACCAGTTATGAATAGGGCCTCGAGCTTTGAGGTCCCTCGACTAGTGATTTTTACAGTTGTGATGAATTGACGACAGAGCATCGTCACAAAAAGCCCCCAAACATTTTGCGACCCCACAATCATCGTAGAAAGTCTCTAAACATTCAACGGCGATATTATTCGCGTTCTGACACTTCACTGGGACTTCTGGTTCTTGGTGCTGGCGGCGTCTGCTGAAGCTTAGAGGGAAAGTGCAGCAGTATTTCACGGTTAGGGGCGATCAGGTACTCTGGCAAGGGGAAGTGATGTTGAAGTACAATTATGTTAAGAAGGTCTGGAACTCCATACGACCTCGATTACCTAAACAATCATGGGCTTCATTGGTGTGGAAAGGACTTGGAATCCCACGTAGCAAGTTCCTCTTATGGCTGTTTGCGAAGGAGCGAATTCATACGCATGTTAGAATGGCCTCATGGGGGCATACTGGTCCTTTGAATTGTGTGTTTTGTGATCAGGTTGCTGAGTCTATGGACCATCTATTTGTTGCTTGTATGTTTTATCAGGATATATATCTACAGCTTTCAAGTCTTATGTTCCCTTGACAGTGGGTTTCAACTTGGAGGCCAGAGGTCGGTTGGGCGGAGAGGGTGTTTGCCAATTCTACTCCTCTCACTGATGCTGGTAGATTGATTTGGAGCTCTATTCTCAACCATATGTGAAGAGAACGTTCTAGGCGTATATATGCATGAGAGAAGATGGATATTGCAGTGTTGGGTAAGGTGATTGGTAACGACATATAACAACTACTAATTTTGAGTGACAATATATGTCACACCACAAAAATAATTTAAATATTACATGAGAAAAAAATTAATGCATTTTAAACAATACAAGTAAAGTAACTATGTTAATCCCAACTAATAAGTTGTTTCCTAATGGGCTTCATTCCGTTACCTCCACCTTCATGCGCCTTGCTCCCTTCGCCGCGCAGATCATATATCAATTGTTATATCTTCAGATCTCATATATCATCAGTCCGCCGATGGAGGCGGATTACTCCGGCTGCCGATGGTAACCTTTTTCGCCGTTTGCAAATCTTGGAGATCCATTGCTCGCCGACCACGGCGGCTCTCTTCCGGGTCTCCCAGGCCTCCTCATGGGACTCCGTTGACCATGAGTTTTCTCCCGTCACAATGTTCCACACGTTTGTCACTACTCCGATTAACGACATATTTCCTGATAAAATATTCTCCTGTTCACAACCTCCTCCTCCTACTCCTCAAAGTCCCCATTTCTAGAGTTCCAATTTCAAAATTGAATCACCGGTCTCTAGACTTGGACTAGAGACAAAAAGAGCATTTATATTCGTATCTTACTATTCCTCCCTCGAAATATATATGACAACAAAAAAAATAGAGCCCAACGACATAAATCAGATTCTGATAATGCAATAACATGCACAAAGTAGGTGTCAAACATTGCCCCTATTGAACTTTACCCAAACCGCTGTTGAGAAAGAACACGATAACAGAATCAGAATCTAAAGCTGGGAATTGAACTGTTTAGGGTTTGTTTTAGAAATGAAAAATACGGTGAAAAAGACACTACTTGAATTGATAATGAGAGTGGCTATTATGTCGTCTGTATGAATGCGTTTAAATTAGGATGCAAAGAGAAGAAAAGGAATGAAAACGACAAACTGAAAGATGAAATAACAGCCTAGGATTTCAAATCTTCACTTGATTCCAGTTTGACCGTCGGACGAGAGCGCCACAAGTTAGAGGAAGAAGATTATTCAAGTTCTTGATGTTCACCGTTTTGGTGAAGCGCAGCGTTTTATTATTACCACTTAAAGCTATGTCGTTTTTGCCTTTCATCGGCTGTGTGTTTACTTTTCTGCCAAGCTTACAATTGTTTCCTTTTCATGCAAACAAACAACATGTAGCTGGAACTGATTGTCTTCTTCTGTAATGGGTTCACTATAATAACCAACCTTGTTCTCGATCCAAAAGTGTGAACACCTTGTTCAACTCGATTTGGCCGGGTCGATCTAAGTAACAAATGCACACTCTATACGCGAACTGTTAACCACAGTAACGGATAAAACTCGATCTCGATAGAAAACTCGTCAATATCATGAGAAAGTCGCTTTGACCTAGCTGAAATAGGATGGACACTTATGGGTATGGGTTCAATTCTCATGTTAAAAAAAAAAAGAAATAAGAAAACACCAAAGTAAATGAAACTCTTTCCCGATACAAAACGCGTCAACACAGACTAAATGTGGTATAGATTTTAGATAGCGGCTTTTGGAAATGCTGGAGGGATGCAACTTAGGCCCACTTGCACATGGAGGAGTTTGAGGGACACTAATGAATAGTAACTCTAATGTCTAATGTTAGGCTTTTTATATATTAATTAATGTTTCAAAAGTGGGTTGTAAATTGGTGGGCGAATGCGAGGGTTGTACATACGAAATTTGGTATAGAATATAGATATTCGGTAGTGGTTGTGGCAAACGATGGAATGGGACAACTTAGGTTTCCACCGACAGTGTTTCGAGATAGTTGTGAATTTGTGGGCGAATGCAATGATTTGGCCAAAATGCCATAGATGATGGAAAATCGATGTAGACTCAACGGATATATAGTAGTCAAACATAGAGGATGTAAAATGTAAGAGTTGGCTGCAAAGAATATAGGGTAAATACAATTTAATATCCCAACCTTTTATTTTAAATAATATAATAGCCAAACCTTTTCGAAAACAATCTAATATCCAAATCGTTAACTTTCTGTCTGTTTGACCGTTAGTTGACACTTCAAAAAAGTTCGAAGTACGACACTTCATCAATATCCATCGATATCTTCTCTGAAAAACCACCAACATATCGTAGTTCCAAACCCGAGAAGCCCATGACTCCACCATGATGGTATAGAATATCTAAATATTCAGTCATCTGCAATGCCAAAACAAGAAACAAAGTTGTACTGTGACAATTTCCCCTAAACAAAGCTTTTTTGAAGTGTCAACTAACGGTCAAACGAACGGAAAGTTGACGATTTGGATATTAGATTGTTTTCGAAAAGGTTTGGCTATTATATTGTTTAAAATGAAAGGTTTGGATATTAAATTGTATTTACCCAAGAATATAATTGGGAGAGATTTGAGTACATGGACATTATATTAGGAAAACGTATTGGATAAAAGTTAAAACAAATGGTATGAAATGAGAGAGTGGGGTAATAAGAGATTCTCCAAATTTTGGAGATGTAGGAGAAGGATATGTGAGTGAAGAAAAACAAACAAATAAAGGTTGCCCACTTGCACTTGAAAGAGTTTGGGGGGACACTAATAAATAGTAATTCTAATGTTAGGCTTTTATACCTTAATTCTCGACCAAAGGTAGACAAAAACATTAAAACAGATAAAACTCACTCCCAATCAAAAACTCTCGACGTCTAGTTCAACTCGCTTTGATTTGGTGAAACCATATTTTTCAAGAATTTACACTCGACCAAATTCGAATTGGAAAGGGAAATCTTTATTTCTCACAAGGAAACTGAAAAAGAAAGACAAAAGTAAAAGCCTGATCTGTAGAACACTGTAAATTGCAATCTGACGAGACTTTTATTGAATGAAAGCCAAATACTTATACTTGTCAGTGCAAACCACAAGATTGGTTGCTCCCAACGTTCACTAACCGAGAATCAAGCTAAACACAAACCAGCTAACAACCTTACTCGCAGAAGACTCTCAACAGACTAACAACTCTTGACTGGACTAAAAATAACAAAACACAAAGTAAAGGACCAGCATGGTAATAAAGCAAACGACGCAGTATTGCTCAAACTTGCAGCAGTAGTAATTTGAACAGCTTCCATTGGCGCGCTTCCTAATCCTTGTGAGACAAGGATTCCTTCTTCAACATATCCTCCCCTGAACTGAACCCTTCCAATTCACGCTTCAGTTCACTTACCATCTCCAATCTTCACTGGTCTTCGAATTCAGAGAGATCACACATACCAAGCTCTGCTCTCAGCCTGTGAAAGGCTTCTTGAGATAAAGCCTTGGTCATAATATCAGCCACTTGCTCCCTTGTCCCACACTGCTGCAACTCCACAACTTCATCTCGAACCAACTCCCTCAGGAAATGAAACCTTACATCTATATGTTTGCTCCTTCCATGAAGAACTGGATTTCTGGACAGCTTTATAGTCGAGCTGTTGTCACATCTGATCTCAGTGGCCTTCTTCACACTTGATTCCCATCCAATCTCAGTTAGAACTCTTCTCAACCACACTGCCTGTGCTGCACAGTAGGCAGCAGCCACGAACTCAGCCTCAGTAGTTGATAGGGTCACCACAGGTTGCTTTTTAGAGGCCCAGGAAACAGCTCCACCTGCAAGGAAGAAAATGTATCCACTGGTACTCTTCCTGTCATCAGAATCACCTGCATAGTCTGAGTCTGTATATCCTAACAGACTTCCTTCTCCATTCTCCCTTTTGTACCATATACCACTGGTGAGTGTGCCTTTTAAGAATCTGAGAACTCTTTTAGCTGCTAGTAGATGCTGCTTGGTGGGTGCTTCCATGTACCTGCTTAATAAGCATACAACAAACATCAAGTCTGGTCTGGTGGCTGTAATGTACAGCAGACTTCCAATGAGCTGCTTGTACTCAGTGGCATTTACCAAACCTCCATCTCCAGCTTTAGTTAGTTTTGCTCCAGGAACAAGTGGATTATGGACAAAATTGCAGTCAGCAAGATTGAATCTTGCTAATACCTCCTTTGCATACTTCTGCTGACATATGAATATGCCAGTTTCCTTCTGAATTACTTCCACCCCTAAAAAGTATTTCATTTTGCCCAAATCTGTCATCTCAAATTCTGCTTCCATCGATTTTTTGAACTCAGCAACCATAGCAGCATTAGTACCAGTGTAAAGTACATCATCCACATAAATGCTTACCAGTAGTACTTCCTCACCAGAGTGTTTGATGAACAATGTGGCCTCATATGGACATTTTTGGAACCCAGCAGCCAAGAAATGAGCTTCTATTCGACTGTACCAGGCCCTGGGAGCCTGCTTTAAGCCATACAAGGCTTTCTTGAGTTTGTATACTTTGGATTCCTCCCCAGCAACCACAAAGCCTTGTGGTTGCTCAACATAGACATCCTCAGCAAGTTCTCCATGGAGAAATGCGCTTTTGACATCAAGTTGCCAGACTGGAACTCCATGTTGTGCAGCAAAAGCCAACAGGCACCTGATAGTATCCCATCTGGCTACTGGAGCAAAGACCTCATTGTAGTCTATTCCCAGCTTCTGAGCATATCCTTTGACAACCAACCGAGCTTTATGTTTATCCAGAGCTCCTGTTTCAGTAAACTTAGTCTTATAAATCCACTTGAGACCAATGGGAATTATACCTGCAGGCAGATCAGTTAATTCCCAGGTGTTGTTCTTGTCAATGGACTTCATTTCCTGCCTCATTGCTTCATTCCAGACTTCTTTTGTGGCAGCTTCTTCAAAGGATTGAGGATCTTCAGATACTGCAATCATAGCCAGCCATTCTGGTTGCTCACTTTCTATGCTGTTGCAGTCATATATAGCTAGGTGACTTGGTGGCTTTCTTGATCTGGGGCCAAGATCAGTGCTTCGAGGTAGGCCTAGCACATCAGTGGCCTCATTTCCAGCATCTTCATCTGCAGCTTCAGGTACAGTAGGAGGTGTAGGAGTTTTTGGACTTGGAGGTTCTTCAGATTCTTCCTCCTCATTTGTTTCATCAGGAACTGCAGTAGCTAAAAGGTGTGGCCCTTCTTCTCCATCAGAATCTTCATAGATATCATCACTTCCTTCCCATAGCAAACTTGTTAGGACAGGTTGAACATCAGATTTCCACTTCCAGCCCTTACTTTCATCAAAAACCACATCCCTACTCACCAGAATTTTCTGTGTTTCTGGATTGTAAAGTCTGTAGGCCTTTGATTCTGTGGAAATCCCCAGGAAATGGCACTGGACACTCTTATCATCCAACTTCTTTCTGAACTTGTCAGGTATATGTGCATATGCCACACAACCAAACACCCTAAAGTGAGAGACTGATGGGGGAGCACCAGTCCACAGCTCCTGTGGTGTTTTTCCACCATTAGCAACAGTAGGGCTTCGATTTAAAACATGTGTTGTCCAAGTTACAGCTTCTGGCCAGAATTTTGCAGGTACTAGAGTGTCTTTGAGCATGCATCTCACCATGTTCATGGTGGTTCTGTTTTTCCTTTCTGCCACCCCGTTTTGCTGAGGAGTTAGAGCTGCTGTCAACTGTCTCTTGATTCCAGTTTCATCACAAAGAGCCTGGAATTCATTTAACAAGAACTCTCCTCCCCTGTCTGTTCTGAGACACATAATTGGTAAACCAGTCTCCTTTTCAACCTGTGCCTTGAACTTCTTAAACCAATCCAAAGCCTCAGATTTAGCTGCTAGGAAGTAAGCCCACAGCTTCCTACTGAAATCATCAATTATGGTAAGAATATACCTTCTTCCCCCATTTGAAATGGGTGTGATGGGTCCACAGAGATCTGCATGGAGCAACTGAAGTTTCTGTGTGGCCCTCCACTGGCTGTGCTTTGGAAAGGCCTGCCTGGTTTGCTTGCCCACTTGGCATGTAGAACAAACTCCAACCTTCCCCTTCAGCTGAGGTATGCCTGTGATGAACCCCTTCTGTGTCACTTGTAGTAGACCCTGAGGATTCAAATGACCAAACCTCCTGTGCCATAGGCTCAAGGAGGTCTTCGAGGTATCTTCAGTTTGAATCCAATGAGCTTCAGTCTTGCCTGACTCATCTTTCAAGACAAACATTCTGTTTGATCTCATTGTGGTTTCTAGCAGAAACCCTCTTTCTTCATGATAGATTCTGCAAGTGTTCCTCTTTACCATGAACTCCAGCCCCTTCTCCTGCAGTTGGCCCATACTCAGTAGATTGGTTTTTAATCCAGGTACATAGAACACATTATGTACAACAAGATTCACACTTCCCAGCTGCAACTTGACTTTGCCTTGCCCAGCAACATCCAATCTAGTATCATTTCCCAGCCTAATCTTTCCAGCTTGAGTAGCTTCAAGAGATTCAAACCATCTCTTATCTCCAGACATATGATTACTACAACCAGAATCCAGAAACCAATAATTGTCCATTGCTTCTGCTAGAGGTTCTTCCAGAAAAGCCATTAGCAGAACATCATCAGGAAGAGCATTTCTGTCACTTTTGTCACTGGAATAGGCTTGAGAATAGTGAGCTTGCTGATTTGTGTACCAGTCAGGGCATTCACTGCGATAATGACCCATCTTGTGACATTTGAAGCATTCAACATGCTCTCTATTCCAGCCTCTTCCTCCTCGCCCTCTTCCCCTTCCTTGCCACACACCAGCTCTGCCTGCTCCTCTTCCACCTCTACCTCCACCTTCATATGCCATTTTCAGTGCCTGATCTTCCTCCAAAACAGACTTCCTATGAAACTTCTGCTCATGAACAAGTAAGGAACTCTGCAGGGCATCAACAGAAAGGGTCTCTATGTCCTTAGACTCCTCTATGGAGCATACAACATAGTTGAACCGTTCAGTCAATGTCCTAAAGATCTTCTCTACAATCTTAACATCAGGCATCTCCTCTCCACAATTCCTCATGTCATTAGCCACTACCATAACACGACTGAAGTAGGCAGAAATAGACTCACCCTCCTTCATTTCAAGAACTTCAAAAGTTCTCCTTAAAGCCTGCAACTGAGCCTTCTGGACACGAGCACTCCCTTGGTATTTTGTCTTCATAGCATCCCAGAGTTGTTTGGAGGTAGCTTTGTTTGTGATTGTCTTCAGGATGGACTTGTCGATGGAGCTGAACAAGTAATTTTTGGCCTTGAGATCTTTCAGCCTGAGTTCATCCAGGTTCTTGGATTCCACAGCAGACAGTTGAACCCCAGCAGGATGCTCAGGGATTCCCTCACTGACCACTGACCAATACTCCTTGGATCGTAGGAGATTTTCCATAAGCAGGCTCCAGTGATCGAAATCACCATCAAACTTTGGCAACCCCACTTGAGCAAAGCCATTGTTATCACTCATGTTTTACAGATCACACACAACTCACAGCACTCAGAAATCACACACCCTTAAAACACCTCACCAGAGAACTCTCGTGTTTCCCAAACCCAGATCTTGCACTGCACTCTCACTTTCCTTAATCAATCACTCAGAATCTTTGCTTGAAAGCAACAATGGTTACAGCTTGCTAATGCTCTGATACCAAATGTAGAACACTGTAAATTGCAATCTGACGAGACTTTTATTGAATGAAAGCCAAATACTTATACTTGTCAGTGCAAACCACAAGATTGGTTGCTCCCAACGTTCACTAACCGAGAATCAAGCTAAACACAAACCAGCTAACAACCTTACTCGCAGAAGACTCTCAACAGACTAACAACTCTTGACTGGACTAAAAATAACAAAACACAAAGTAAAGGACCAGCATGGTAATAAAGCAAACGACGCAGTATTGCTCAAACTTGCAGCAGTAGTAATTTGAACAGCTTCCATTGGCGCGCTTCCTAATCCTTGTGAGACAAGGATTCCTTCTTCAACATGATCCACATCATCGCCATAATCATCTGTCATCTTGATCCTCGTCATCCTCGCCGTCGTCATCGATTAATAACGCTTGGAATTTGTTGGCTAGTTGTCCAGTACTGACTTTGTTATTACCTTCACGTTGCTGATTGTATTTTCTGTAACCGGTCTTTGACTTTGCCATGCAAACGCTCGGCCCTGTCTGCCTTTGCTGAAACATCCTTTCTTGCCCTTCTTTATGCTCATGGATATTCCTGCATCCCAAGTAAATGGAGAATGAATGAAGAAACAAACACTATAATTATAATTAATCAGAAGAATATATATATATATATATATATATATATATATATATATATATATATATATATATATATATATGTGTGTAAATTAAATGATTACCAGGGCATGGGGAGGAACCAGAAAGTACGGGTATTGTCACTATTAGAATCGGTTGCAAACCTTTCGACCGTCTGATCCACGAGATTGAAGACGCCAAAATCATCAGAGAAAATAGAGTCTCCTCCAAAGGCGAAGTAGATGCAGTTGCCTTTAACTCTGTTATTGAGTAGTGGGTCAGCGGGAAGACAAAACGACTGGTGGGATCCCACAAACACAGCATAGCCATCCAAGTTGGTCACTTTTGCCCAGTAATAATTAACGGTGTTGTTATTCTCCCCGCCTCCCGGTCCCGGTACAAGCTTGCACACCTCGAATTCGTGCTTCGATTCGGATTTAGCATGCCAGTAGCCAGTACGATGGTGCAGGATGACGAGGAGCTGACCTTGGAAGTCGGCCAAGTGATAATGGCATCTGTAATTACCACCGTGCATATAAAACATAGAACTGGACCTCGCCTCCGCGAGTTGTTGGCGCGACATGGCGGAAGAGAGTGGGAACACTCTGACGGTAGGAGTACACGTAATCAGGCCATCCACCACGTGCACGTGCTCGCCATCCACCACGTGTAGCTTCCCTCCAAAGTAGTCCATGTCAACCTCCCGCGGGGAGTTGAAAGTGAGCTGATCATCATCATCACGGGCTGTGAATTTCCAACCGTCCATGGAATGCACGTTGCATCATGCTAATCGGGGCGTGGATTCGAAGAGAATGAAGACGTGGCAGTCGTCGTCGTCAGGGGAAGATGAGATGATGGCTTTGCGGACGTGGACATTGAAAGGGAGAGGAGGAAGATGGAAGGAGGATTCGGTGATTGGGTTGAGGAGGTAGAAGCTGATCGTTTGATAGGTGGAAGGGGCATGATGAGGAGCCACCCGTCTTTGGACGCCACCAGGGGCGGAGCCAGGATTCGTGAGTCGGGGGGGCCGACATTTTTTTTACGTATTATCGTAAGAATTAAAAAATATATATAATAACATAAAAGCATAAAAAGACATAAAAATATGGTCTAAACTAAAATTTATAGTACAATATGTTTAAGATAATCGTTACAACTTAATGATGATCGTTACTAGAATTTCAGAAACTTTAATCTATAAATGTTCAATGTAAATTAGGAGAATGTCTATTCTTTTTCTTATTAAACTAAAAAAGAGGAGACAAAATTGAACTAATGAGTAATTATTATAAATTTTGAGCAGTAACTAAAATTTGTTAAACTAAAAAGTGTAGAAGAAAAAAGCAAACTAGCTTCCATGGGGAATCGAACACTAGTACATGGGATAAAATGGCAGTAATTAATCCGCTGGACTACAAGCAATTTTAGTATAAGTTATTGCACGCTATTATATTTATATTATGCCTTTAAATTATTCATAAATACCAAAATTCTCGACGAATATATATGCAATCTTCAAAATTCTCGGGGGGCCGAGGCCCCCCCGAGCACCAATGTAGCTCCGCCCCTGGACGCCACGTAGTATTGTTTCTGGATGACGGCCCCATCGTAACGGCTGATGTGTGACGATCGAGTTACGAACTGAGGAAGCGTGACGGAGGGGAGCCTTCTTCTTCTTCTTCTTCCTTCGCTTTCGCTTTGTTGTTCATCATTACGATGGCTTAGCATGGTAAGCGGAAGGAACTCATGTGGTGGCCTCCAGATGCGAGAGGAGGCGGACCGAAACCCGGAAGCATCGGCGGCGGTTGCTTTCGTGGTTAGGACGAGTAGGCCGGGAAGGCATAATAGGTGGCGGCGATTGAGAGCGGCGGATCGCCATGATTTGCAGACGTGGGAGAAGGCGAGGAGCTGGGAAAAGGTGTGCAAGTGGTGACTTGCTATCTTCTCTACTATGTCATCCGGCAGTTGGGTGTAATCCATTGATGGCAGCAGCCGGTGCTGGAGCTAGGCTTTTTCTGCGCCACGCACGACAACTAAAATAATTAGGGTTATTATATGTAATGTAGCTAGGGTTAACTATACAAAAAAATAATGATTTCCCCAATCGAAAGGGAAAGTTGTTGCAGCCGGCTACACAGCTCCTCCTAGCTAGGGTTCACCAAGGCCTCAAATCAGAGACTAGTCGCTAATAATAAATCAAAGAATGTAGTTAGGCAGGGATCGGAGACCCTAGCTAGTTAATTAATCAATTAGGTGAAAGGGAAGTTATAAATTAGATGCTCAAGCCCGAAGAGTCCAAGCACAAATCCGTTCCAGAGCCAGCCGATACTCTCGGTGCCTCTGTCGATTGTTGCGTGGAAATAGGCTTGTCAATGGGTAGGCCTATTGGGTTTTTTGACCCAAATACCTTGACCCATATGGGTATTGGGTTTGGACCCAAATGGACCCAAATTTCTTTTTATTTTTTTGGGTTGGGTTGGGTTTAGATTGGGTCCAGAATTGACCTGTATATTTGGGCCGACCCAAATGGGTCCATTTGGGTATAAGTTAGATTTTGGTTAGTTGAAAGTCATGCTTATTAGATTTTGGTGAACCAGATAATTTATGGAAATCTGTATAATTTTCTTTCGATTAGAGCTAATTGTTAAATACAAAGCGTCCTGCAAACCACAACAATTCATTGCCATCTTCATCGAGATTCCATCTCTAGCCAGCTGAGTGATATATTCCACCATTGCTGCCCCTGCATATTTCACACCATAATTGAGCATTCCAAGCCCCAAAAATAATTTCAATAGGAAAGACAGCTAAGTCTGACAAATCCAATTAAAAGTTGAACAAAAAATTCAACAGCATATGGAATGGGGGCTTCGAGTGTTATATCACGAATTATCAGCATGAGAATTATATCAAACAAGGATAACTGTAAATATAATTGTCTCATCATCCACAAATCCATAACCATTGCAGCAGTAAGTCGGAAAGCTGATTCATACTCCAAGCCATATTCCAAGCCACATAACTCAATCTAAGGAACCACCTGATTCATACAAACCTAAACCACAAAAACAGAATGCTTCTTGGCACCGCTTCAATTCCATGCTGTGTTTTCATTCCATGCTTACTACACTGTACTGTCTCTGTCTCTTGCCTTTCCCCCTGTCCCTCTTCTGCCTGCAAACACACACACCATATAGCTTAGCAATTACAGCTGCTGCTGCTCATTATACTCCATATTCACTCATCCAACCCCATTAATTATCACACAGGAATTCCCAACAGATAGAAAAAAGCCAATTCCCTTTTCCCTCTGCAAACGTCCTCTTCATTCTCTCTCTTTATTTTGGCTGGTCCTTTAAAGAAAGCTCTGGTTTCCTTCCGTCTTTCTCTCTCGGCCATTTTCTAAACAAACAAACTGCTTTGGCAATCATGTTCGAAGTAGTAAAAATATAATAACATTTCAGTTGCGCATTTCCAACTCTTTTGCAGAGACTCAGCCACAAGCAGCTTTGGTTTTGCACAGTACCACAGCGTTAATTGTTTCGAAATCAACATCTAGCACTCACCTCTTGGCACCGCTTCAATTGTCATGCTCCTCCCCATCTTCATCAAAATCTGCATCTTCCGCATTCTCATCGTCTATAGTTGCATGACTCAAATCATGAGTAACTTTGGACACACCTATGTCAAAATTGAAACCAATTAGTAACCAATGATATACAATGTTATACCTTTGAAGAAAACATAAATCATATACCTTTGACCTCATTTAGTAACCAATTTTGAGAACACATCAACGCCTCGATAGCATTAGCGTCAAGTCGACTACGATGCGGACTCAACAATCTCCCACATGTGCTAAAAGCAGATTCTGAAACAACTGTCGTCACGGGGATGGCTAGAATATCTCTTGCTATCAACCTCAAAGTTGGATACTTGAGCCCTTGATTCTTCCACCAAGCTAATATATCAAACTCATCACTTCTTGGTATCACCCCATCACTCAAATAAGTATCAAATTCTACTTTCACATTTGAAACTCTATGATCACCGCTTACAAACCTATCAAATCCAGCAAGAAAATCATCATTCACTTGTTGACTCGACCCAGAAAACATAGTTGTACCACTTGCAAACTCCTCATTAGGTTCTGAACTCTTGTACTGATTAAGCAAATCATAAACAATATCTTTAATCCTCTTCAGATGGTGTTCAGCCAAAACACCATAAATTGGTTCAAACGCCCATACCAAAATTCGATTCTGAAGACTCCATGAATCATCAATATAATGTGCAGTAACAACCATAAACCCACGTTTATTGTTGTTTGAGGTCCACATGTCTGTTGTAATGGCTACTCTACTACTGTTTCTCTCCAATTCCATCATAACATGAGTCCTCCCTTCCTTATAGATCTTCAAGATGTCACTTCTAACTGTGTTTCTTGAAATCATTTTGAATGCAGGTTGAAGAGAGCTTACAAACTTTCTTACACCAACATAATTAACCACAGCAAGTGGAAACCCATGCAAGATAATCATGTTGGCAAGATCCCTTCTACTATTCTCTTGGTCAAAGATATATGGACTGGAACTTCTACTAGCACCTAACTTCTTTTTCAACAAGTTATACAAGTGCTTAATCTTAGGGCATCTTCGCAAGTGCTTGTCTAAATGAGTAGTTCCATGCACAGCTGAAAGCATTTTCTTGCAATGTTGACATTGAGCCTTTAACTCTCCTCTAAATAATACTTTCTTAAAGTATTTCCATACATGAGACCTCAATTGTTTACTGCCATTAGAAACTACTGTAGGAGCTTCACTATTGCTTTCACCAGAATCTGTATGAGAATTTTCAGGAACCTCAGATAATTCAATAGTTTCATCTATTTCTGAAGCCATTTTCACTTAACCTGAATAACATAACATACCAATATTACCACAAGACACATCAAAGATATGAATAAAGTACTCAACAAAAGCATCATTGAATTGCTAAACAAATTCATAAAGTACTCTCATTTCATTGACTTTCATCTCCTGGATCAGTTGAATCTGTAGCAAAATGGTGATCGAATTAAATATACTAACATCATTACCATCTAAACTCGGCTATTAGTAACAAAACAGTCATTCTGTATCCAATGTGCCAATTAGACTTGCCATGACACCAAAATCAACACTCAACTTGTGGGCAAACGCCTGAACTCGAGATCCAGAATAGTAAAGGGTCTGCTCTAGTGGATGCACCAGTGGGGATTGGCCGGGTTCTGTAACTATTTCTAGCTTAATGAGCATTTCGTCACAGCGACAGATCAAATAAGGTTACTTTGTTTTGCTACATTACCTGAACTCCTTGTAGCGGTAGAAAGACTCCAGTGCCCAGCCTTGATCCTTGTCAGCAGCCAAAACAGCGAGGGAAATCAAGCAGAAGACAAACCCAGAAAACCTGGAACCCAAGAGAGCTCCCCTCCTATCTGGCTGCTGCTGCGGCGGCGGTGGATTGCCCGGAATACTGCTTTGACGATTTTCTCTATGAGTTGAGTTTCAGGTCTAGACGAAATCAACAGTTAAGATTTGTTAATTGATTCCACAAGAAAGAGAACACATCTATATATAATACAAAGAGTTGCATCAATCCATTTATTAACAGAGGTGGGTCTAATGTGTCTATATATATATATACCTGATATCCTCGGCATCAAATCCAGATATGTTGGCTATCTCCAGATCAGAAAGCAAGAGTAGGATTAAGGAGAGAACTTGAGAGCAAACCGGGCAAGATCTAGAAGAGAAGAAAATGGGGCAAACCTGGAGATCGAGACCAGCACGAGAAGAGCGAGAGGTGGGTTTCTTCCACAGCCTCTTCGATGGTCGGCGGCGTCTTCGGCGGCGGCGGCGGGATACGATGGTCGATGGTGGAGAAGCAAAAGCAATTGCTCTCGTTAAGGGTATTAGCCTATTAGGTCATGAGGAGACCCGTTTGGGTTCTGTAGAAATTTTTTTTTTTTTTAATTAATTTTCTGGGCCTTTCTTGGACCCAATTTAATTGGATGGGTATAGGTCTGCTCCAAAACAGAAAAACCCAAAACCTGATTTGACCCAAATTCAATTGGGTTTGGGTAAAACTCATACCCTAAGACCCATTTGACATGCCTACGTGGAAACCAAGTTTCCTTTGTTGAGTGGGAAAGGAAGAGAGACAAGGTTTGGTGTTACTATTCATTAGTGACTCTCCAGCGGCGAATCCAGGACATAAGAGAGCACTAGGCCGCATTTGAATAGAATATTAGATATCATAAACAAAATTATATAATAATATAGTTTTCATTACAATGCCAAATGTACAAGAAGGTCTTTTAATTTAGCAAATTCATCAATAAGATAATCTCCATCCATACTGATAATATACTCTTTTTCAAAGAAAATAGCTAAGTGATCAACGAGAAATTCATCTCTCATTTTGTTGCACAAATCAATGTTCATGTTCCATTGCTGAAAATATTCTCTCCATGGTAGTTGTTGAAACGGCTAGGTCAACACTAGAAAAATCAACCGACGAAGCAATTTGTACTATGTGTCCATCCCTGTTTCCTCCAGCTTCTCTAATAATTTTGCTAGAGAAGAAACTTCATCTTCCTCACATGAGTAGTGCATTCTCCAAAGAATGCATCTCATAGCCTTCAAAGTCTCGAGGCTAAACTCTTGAGCAAGTTCATAAATATTTTCTTCATCAAAACACCATAAAGAACGGTTAGAATCTCGTGCCCCACTCAATTGAGGCAATCTAAATGATGACTCAACAAGTTTGTAAATATTTTCTTCGTCAAAAGAATGGAAAGAAAACCAGCTCGACAGGCTGGCAGAGAAATCCATTTGGGTCTGCTCGTCTCCTCATTCTTGTTTTGTTTTGGAAGGATTGAGAAAATTTTTGAATTTTGCAAGGAAGGATGTGCTTTAGTTTGGAGTTTTTATTTTTATTTTAATGAAACTCAACACTTTTAGGTTTTCATGTCTTTTTTCAAATAAAATCATTGGGGCTATAGAAAATTTAGTATAAGTTTAGAGTAATTGTTTGGATATGTTCATCTGAACCATTTTCCTAGTTACACAAAATCCTATTATCAAATAAAACTAGACAGGATTTAAATAGCACTGGGCCAAATACCTAAATCGAAAAATTTTATAAGCACTAAACTAATTCTGGATCCGGAGCAGGGCTGGGCCGAGGCCTGGGTTGGCCAAGCCCAGATCCGCCACTGTGACTCTCATACTCCTCCTTGTAAGTGGGCAAGTTTCAAGTTCCATCTTTTACCTCACTCTCTCATTCTACAACATTTGTGCTCACTTATTATCCATTGGGTCTAAATCTATTGCCCATTAGGTTTTAATTATCTATTGTTCATTGTGTTCCCTATTGAAACAATTATCTATTAGGTTTTCGTCTATGATCTATCGCCCAAATCATGTCTTGGCCCACCAATTCGCTACCCATCTCGAAACACTATTGAAGAAATCATAAGTTTTCCTCTTCCACCGTTTGCCACGACCGCTACTAAAGATCCATAGTGTATCTCGAAATACTTTCGGCGGAATCCTAGGTCATACCAATCCACCGTGTCACAAGACCAATACCGAAAATCCATACCAACATGCTCTGTGTTGCCAAGTTTTGTATCGGGACCGCGTTTTATATTCTTTAGTGTTACTTGAACTCATGGGTATCCAATCTATTGAACTCAAACTCCTGGGTTTCCAATCTAATTCGACCAGGTCAAAGCGACTTGAACCCGACTTTAGTAATTTTCAATTTCAATTTTTATTTTTGTTGAGAATGACAATTGAACCCAAAGCCATGGTATTGACGAGTTTTATATTCATTAGTGTTACTTGAACTCCTAGGTATCCAATCTATTGAACTCAAACTCCTGGGTATCCACTCTAATTCAACCATGTCAAAGCGACTTGAACCCGACTTTAGTAATTTTCAATTTCTATTTTTATTTTCGTTGAGAATGACAATTGAATCCAAACTCATGGTATTGACGAGTTTTGTATCAAGTGCGAGTATTATCCGCTTTTGTAGTTGCCATGTTGGGTCGAGTGTGAATTTGTTAAACACTCGATTCGACCCGGTCATAGCGAGTTGAACACGGTGTTGACGAGTTTTGGATCAAGAGCGAGATTTGTCTGTTAATGTTATTTTCTTTTTTCGTTTCCTTTTTATTAATGAAAATTGAAGCAAGACTCGGTGCTGACGAGTTTTATATCGAGAGCGATTTTTATCTACTTTTAGAATTGGCATATTAAGCCAATTGTGAATTATTAAAAACTCGGTTCGTACAAGTGAAGGCGAGTTGAACTTGGTGTATAGAGTTTTTGGTGGGGAATGAGTTTAATCCGCTTTAGTGTTTTTTATTTATCCTTTTTCTTTTGGTTGAGAACCCAATCCTATGGGTATCCAACCTAATTTAACTTGACACAAATGACTTTAACCCGATGTTTACAAGCTTTCAGAAAGGAGTGACTTTTATTCGCTTTTGTAATTGGCGGGTCGAGTCGGTTGTGAATTTGTTACATACTCGGTTCAACCAGATCAAAGAGAGTTGAAAATGATGTTGCCAAGTTTTGGGTCTTGAGCGAGTTTTATCCACTTTATTGTTTGTTAATTTCTCGGGCGGGAGTGAGTTTTATCCGCTTTTTTAATTGTCTGTTCGGGTCGGTTATGAATTTGTTACAAACTCGGTTCAACCCGATCAAAGAGAGTTGAATATGATGTTGCCGAGTTTTGAGTCATGAGCGAGTTTTATCCGCTTTAGTGTCTCTTTTTTGTTTTGGTTGAGATTGAACTAAAAAAAAAAACAAAGCAAAAAGAGTACAAACTAATCAATAGCGTCATGAGAGATGATTTAACATAAAAATCATATGCTCGAAGATCCTTCTCGCTTATTAAAATTCATCGCTGCGTCGACTATATGAAGTTGTAGAGGACAAGCCTTTTACTTTTGGATCAAAATCCAATCTATTAATTTTAAAATATCATCTTCTCGCTCACACGCGAAGCGACAGCGAGCGGGCTTATGCTAGTATATATATAAGATAATAAAAGAGTCACATAGTAGTTTGTGAGTGTTTAAAAAACAATCATATATAGGAAAGGAACATATGCTATTAGGAGGCATAGATGCTGGGTTGGATGGGTTTCATGACAAAAGGAACATAATTGGACAGTGGTTATAATCACAATCTACTATGGTCTGAGTCAAAATGCTGGTTGAACCGTTCCTTAGTAGATATTGGCAGCATGAGTGACATGACAATGCCAAGTCGCAACCACTTCGAAGCGCCAAAATCTAAGTCGGCGTCTGGGTAAGTTTTTGTTGAGAAACTGGGCAGCAACCACAAGTAAGAATAGAATGCACAAGACACACGATTTTTACGTGGAAACCCAAATCGGGAAAAACCACGGGACCTTTGTCCAAGCCACAACTCCACTAGACTTTGGTGGGATTACAAGTCCTCTCTAGACTAGCTAGAGGATTAAACACCTCAAGAACAACATTCTTGAATCAAAAATCAACCACAATAGCTCTCACCAAAATGGTGGATAACTAGAACAAGAGCAAGACAAAGAGAATTTGAGAGATACCCAAAAACATATTCGTACACCTTCTTTCCACCTGAGATTTCCGACTAACTAGACCTCAGAATGACGATCCCTCCGGTCAGAATGGATTCCGAACAATTGCAAACCCACTTTTCAAATTTTAGAACAATCCAACGGTTCAATCTTCCAGAACGCTCACTTAAACAGGCTCCCTTGCTGCAGAAACGAAAAACTGCAGCTCTTTCTCTCTTTTTTCTTATCTCTTCTCTTTTTTGATTCTCTCTCTGGAAAAATGAAAGGTTGACTCCTCTTTTCACTTTTGACCAGACAATAACTCTCTATTTTGAAAATAGAGGATCTTCTAGAAACCAACCAAAACTCAAACTCAAACCGGTTAGTCCAACCACCATAGGAGTTGGACCAAACCCAACAAATCTCTCCCTCCAACTCATATGGGGGTAGCACCAAACCTGCCTCATCTCGACAGAAGATATGTTTCCCACTTGGTAGAGTTTTAGTCATCATGTCCGAACCATTGTCATCCGTATGCACTTTGTTGAGCTCCAACAACTTCTCTTCCAAAACATCACGAATCCAATGATATCGAACATCTATGTGTTTCGACCTTGAGTGGAAAGTAGGATTCTTGCAAAGATGGATTGCACTTTGACTATCACAATAGAGCACATACCTCTCTTGCTTGATGCCCAACTCTTGAAGAAACTTCTTCAACCATAATATCTCTTTTCAGGCTTCCGTCACAGCTATGTACTCGGCTTCTGTTGTTTATAATGCAACACATTTTTGCAGTTTAGATTGCCATGAAACTGAAGCACCTGCAAAAGTCATCATGTATCCAGAAGTCGACTTTCTAGAGTCCACATCACCTGCCATGTTAGCAACAGTATATCCATCAAGTATGGTCTTGCCATTACCAAAGCATAGACACACTCTAGAAGTACCTCTCAAGTAGCGAAGAATCCACTTCACTGCTGTCCAATGTTCTTTCCCCGGATTGGAAAGAAACCGACTGACAATGCCAACGACATGAGCAATATCCGGCCTTGTGCAAACCATAGCATACATCAAGCTCCCAACAGCTTATGCATAAGGCACATTCTTCATTGCTTCTTTCTCTTCCTCACTTGTAGGACAATGCTTCGAACTCAATATGAAATGTCCTCCAAGTGGAGTACTAACCGCCTTAGCCTTGCTCATGTTGAACCTCTCAAGAACTCTTTCAATATACCTTCCTTGAGACAACCAATTTTTCCCATTCCTTCGATCCCTAGAGATTCTCATCCCTAGAATTTGTTTCGCCGGTCCTAAGTCCTTCATGGCAAATGATTTAC